GATCTTTCCAGGTCCAAGTCGATGGAGGTAAACAAGGCGGTGACGTCGAACGAGATCATTATTTCGTCTTCTTGAATGTTGATAGTTTGAGCTTGTCCAGGAATTGCCTTGAGTTCATGACACTATACTCGTGTCCAGCGATGAGCGGCTTCAGTCGTTTCCATAACTCCTTTGTTAATTTGTATGTGGCTGTTCTTGGAAGAGAGACAATCGGTCTCAAGGGAAGTTCTTCCTTGTGTACCTTCGGTAGTCCGTATAATTGTGGGATAACCGAGTTTTTTGCTCTCATTTTCCAGTGCTCCTCTTTGGTTATTTGATGTAGTTCCCCCAGTCGTTTTAATGTGGTGTTGATTTTGTTTTCCAGTTTTTCGGTGGGGTCCATATCGATCCTGCGGTAGGTGTTTGTATCTTGGAGTAGTTCTTTGGCCTTTTGAATGTAGTCAGTTTTATCCATGACCACAGTAATTCGTCCTTTATCTGCTGGGAGAATGACGATACTTTTGTCCATCTTCAGTGTTTTGAGTGCTTTGTCCTCGCGGTTTGATAGCATGTTTGGTTTTTCTTTTCGCATCAGAGCTGGGACGATTGTTCGTCGGATGATATGTTTCGCATCTTCAGGTATTGTGGAGGATTTGAGAGTTGTTCCAGTTCCACCAAGCATTTTTTGTTCGTTGCATTTCTGACGTTGAAGATAAGTCCTTTAATGAGGATTAGTTTTTTATCCTGTGTGATCACGCGATTGAAGAGATTTCGGACCCAGTGTTCATTTCGTCGATTAGCTCATGATCATCCAACTTCTGGAGCTTTCTTGAGAGTGCTAGTTTCCTTCTTCTTTTAGCACTCTTGACACGTCGACTTACTGCTTCCTCCAGCTATTCCATCTGTCGTTCGCTCAGTATAGTTCGACATTTCTGCTGTTCTTCATGTATAACCTCCTATTACTTGGTAACATGTCTGTGAGCGTCCGAGATCATCGTGAGCACCAAGTGTCTTCCGAATTGTCGTGAGATCCTCCAGGACTCCGAGTGATTGATCGGTGGTCTATGATAAACACTCCATGGAAGTAAATTGCGCCGTTGGCATTCGTGAAGGAAGAATAGCTGCTCGTGAGTGGAGACTACTCGATGGGCTAAAGTCTCCCATCGGCGAGCTGCCTTTAGCATAGTACGCCCAATGGACGGATGGACAAGCACCTCCCCTACCAACCTCGCCCCCATGAACCAGTTTAACGACGAACCAAGTCGAACACAATGAGAACAAGGGACAGCAATGGTCGGTGGAGAGGAACACATATATAAACAAACGACACAAACAGAATACTGCCACTTCACAAGCACTGATGATGTCACCTCGGCTGGTGATGAAGCGTTTGCAAACAATTTTCAATACTTTGTCATTTCTATCGATGTGTATACGCCAGTACTTGAGAAATTTCATAGACTCCAGGGTACATTTACACTAACAGTATGCTGGTTCTCCATTTTGCATTTGTGGATAGTTTCACACCGAAGCGGCCTATCCGTGGGCGGTGTTTTCCAGGGCACGTCATGATCAAAGGCAAATCGAGTCATGCGTTGTTATAACCAAGCGTGCATGTAAAACCAGCAGACTAGTTTGAGTAGTTCAGTAGTTTGCTGTTCGTTGGGTGCAGATGTTACAAACCATCAACCACTAGGGTTTATTCCAGTTTAGTGCAAATAATCACCAACAATTGGATTTATTTTGATTGCCGAGAAAAGAGGAGTCCTCTCTGACCGGTGTGGCGAGTGATTCGAGGGGAAAAGTTAACTTGAATGAGTACAAAATCGGTTTATGCATCCCAAATGTTTTGTCAGGCGTGCCTTTCATTGTCAGAAGTAAGTAAGCGGTAGCATTTCATTCAAAGCATTAGGCGTTATTCAAAAGGAGCTCAGCCTCAATGGAATTTAATCATTGGGATGTTGAGGGCCTAGATTGAATCCACTTACGCAATTACGCATCCTAATATTGCCGTCTGGGCATGGTGACCGATCTACAGATGTGGTGGTGAACAAGTGGTTACGTCACCAACTTGTGACCTGGGATTCCCGGGTTCGAACCGCTCCACCGCCGCCCGTATTCCCTATTTCAATATTTCCCCATTCAGCCTTTGAATGGCCGCTTCAAATTAAAGAGCTACAGTTCGGGCATCGGTGGTACAATTCTCCCTTCGTATATTCCAGAATGCTACCTCTGGTTGGTGACGATGATAAATGTCACCATTGATTTTAGGCTGCAGAATATTTGTAGTGATAGGACGTGCTACTGAGGGCTCGTTTTGCCACAAAGTATATCTCTGATATATTGACCATAATGCCGCAAGCTAGGCTCCCAGGCGATTGGAAAAGTGCAAAATACTATCAACATTGAAATTTCTTAAGAAGTAAATCAAAAAACGATTAAAATCGATGTCCACAGTGCACAAACTCTGATCTAAGCCTGTTACCAATAGCATTGAAAAAGCGTCATGTAACATTCGGATGCCAGAAGTCAACATACCAGGGGCAATGTATAAGCTTACTAGCGTGAGATGATGAAATTTACTTTGAAGTAAAATGCAGTTGATAATTTTGGAATTAAAATGAATCAAAGATGAGAGTTGTTACGCCACAAATGATTGACAAATGTAACTACTCCATTACCTCTGCTATTGAAGTTTACAATCCGATCACTTTGATAAATATCAAATCCTCAAGCGGAACAACACCCTCCCCAATTTCAGGATATAAATAACTTTCCTGGACCATAATATGTCCAATGTTTTGCAAGTATTTTTATGTATCATATTGTTAAATTCATCAATTTTTCCCAGAAGTGAGTAAATGTTATTGAAAACAATCTCAGGTATAGTCACTCAGTTGATGGAAAGCCGCCTAAGGGCGACCTTACAAAGAACACTGTTTTACTCGCAGTCCTTGTCCCTTCTTCCTCAATCGGTTGTATCGATTTTGCACACAACGTGCAGAACACGAAAAGTGGTGTCCAGGTGCGATAAAACGCATGCAGGTCAAAATGTGCTCCGTGGGGCAGCATTATATCTGAAAAACTACATGAATTGTTTCGATAGATTATGCAGGGAAGATAACGCGGTTTTCCACTGTAAAATCGCGAATGTATCTGATGGTAGCATAGGTATGGCCAATTTTGAAAGCCTCCATTCGATCCCGAGTAGTTGTGATGTTAGAGATATTCTAATACACATAGAAGTAAACAACTACAAAGCCCTTACTCGCTGAATGAACATAAATAGCCAGTGAACATATAAAATATAATGTTTGTCTTCCCAAGTCTATATTACTCATTTACGTGAATATAGTCAAAGTCAGGTACTGAATGCGTTCACAAATGTATTCCTTTCACTTCAACTTCGTTTCTATTTTACGTTGACCGAATTTTGACGCACTTTCAGTGTTAATTTTTGTTTTCACTGTTTTTATCTGGGGAAGCAGAAGCCCATTTCCTGCAGAATTCCAGCAGAAATTCAATCACCGTCGCCGAACCTCATTAGTTCCACAGTCTTGAATTATGTGTAAATCTATCCCTGAATTCCAATCGTGGGTCTTTGTGTCACAGGCAAATAGAATGCAACGTAAGCCTGAAGCTGTTACTGATCTCAATCCAATTTTATAAAAAAGCCAATAATATATGATTCGGCGATTCTTATCCTTACAAACCGTCCAATCACAGCATGGGGCTGAAAATGGTGAAAACAATCAAATTTTCAAACCGAATTAAGTAACTGCATTTTCGCAGAATTGCGCATTTCCCCCTCATCCACCATATCCGGTGTCATCAGTGATAAAACATGACCTTCTATTTATCGATTTGCTGAAATCCCGGACACTTGTTCGCCAAATTGTGAAAGCCGATTGTCTCATTTTTTGAAGTAAAAAATAAGCTTGTCTCCATGCAATCCGATAGAATGATGAGCTGGCTGTCATTATCGAATGGGATCCCTCTTCCACAGATATATATTGATGATTCTTGGTGGATTGTGGCCTCCTCCTTCCCAACATCAGTCCTGACTTGTTTTGGAGTAGAAAGCTTGTGTTCTTCGAGAATTTGATTAAGGTCCTCCGAGTGTGGAAGCTGAATGGTATTGCCAAAGAAAGCTTCATTTCATCCACCGAGTTCAGTTTGACTCGGATTAAAGGAAATTAAATTGCCAAACACACGGAATCATTCAGCTCTCTCTTTCCAAAAAGCAGAGAATAATTCTTCCTTAATTAATGAAGACAGAGTATAAATAAATCATAAGCTCAACAGTTACAACGTTCGGATAAGCCCTCACCGAAAGTACCATTTGTTTATTCGTATTTTCCGATCATTTATCTATCTATCTATCTACTTTTCTACCTATTTACGTTAGACTATGCAATACTATGTTATTCTATCCACCTGTCTATCTACAAGGCTACCAAACAATTTGACCATCTACCCTCTAATGTCCACAGTCCGTAATCAATATTTTTCGTTCCTCCTTCTTACTCATCATTTCATCTGTGATCATCAGCAAAACACAAGACCGGACTTGTCGTTTCAACCGAGAATTTGCGAGCGGTTTTGGAGGCGGTGGGGGTGGTTGGTTGGCTGCATTTTAAAATGTGTAGTGGCGGGGGGGNTAGGACGTTGCTTGCTTCGGTGCGGGCGACAAAACCCAAATGGCTAGCGCTGAATTCATGCTCAAGGTTACGAAAAGCACACAAGAAAAAAGCACACGCATCAGTGCACCAGATCGTTCTGTGTTTACTTCCAGACACACAATAAACGAGAACTAGTTACGGATCAGCCATTGGCATGATACGTGAGCCAAGAACATTATTCTGTACGGAAATTTTGTGATCAAGCGGATTCGCATGATCGTGTACCAAATTCGTGTGTTTTGACTTCTACAGACTTGAACTCAATCGGTTCCGCATTTGAAACAATCAGTCGTTCTGTGGAATATATTTCATTGTGAATCTGATTATTAAGAAAGAATTATGCCACCGGCCTCCGTGGTTCAACAATCGAACCCGGAACATTTGTCAAACAATAAATTTTTAGTGAATTTGGCCGTCACATTCAATGTGACAAGTATCCCTTTGGCCATTTTCATCCTGATCCTCGTTTTGATCGCCTGTGTTCTATTCTTGGTTGTCTGTATCCTCATCGCCCGGAGTTGTCTGAGACGCAAATTTGTGACAAAACGAAAACGCAAGGCCATAAAAAGTATATATCTTGATGAAATACCAGGTGCCATGCCGGGTAGTGATGTGGGCCAGTATGGTCAACTGGAGTACTCACTGGAATACAACCTGGATCGTCAGAAACTACACGTTGGAGTAATTCAGGCGAACAATTTGGTACCTCGACCAGGTGTTGATGAGCCGGACCCGTATGTGGCTCTTACTGTCATAAAGCAGAGTAAGAATAAATCAGTTGTTCTGTTCGATCCACAAAAAACAGCGATCCGCAAAAAGAGTCGCAGTCCGTGCTGGCAACAAATGTTTGACTTTGATATCAAAGAACCGGAGCTTCGATCAATCACTCTAGTATTTGATGTGTTTGATTACGACAGTATCGGTCAGGACAGCTGCATTGGTCAGTTCCGTCTATCCTTGGTTGAAGTGGACCAGGGTGAATACGCAGGCAAAATTTACGAGCATAGTGACTGGCTTACACCCGGTGAGATGACCGTGGATGGGATGGGAGAACTATGCATCGGATTATGCTATTACACTCAGTACAACCGAATAGATATTATCGTGTATGAGGCTCGTCAATTGGTTTTGGATTCAAACGCAGAATCTCAAAAAGAAAATAAACTGGNAAGCGGTCTCTGGGAGCAAATGAAACCAAGACACGGCATGAGATTGTTAACCCGTATTTCAATGAGAAAATGTCCTTCCCGACTAAAGCGTATCCGGTGGATGAGTTGAGTGCGATTTGTCGACTCAAACGTAAAGGTCGTTTGGGAACGAAACATACATTGGGTACGGTGACCTTGGGCGGACAGAACGATATTAGCACCGGACGGAAACAATGGGATGAAATGATCAAATCACCCGGAAAAACGCATGTCATGTGGCATACTCTAATTCGAAATCCCAAAGAACATTCAAAGTGAATAAACCAAATGCAACCTGGATCAAGTACGTGCCCGCATAGGATATTTATTCATCTTAGGGAACACACTGACCTTGAACTCCAGGAGTATCTTACTTAAACTGCGCTTTACATTCTAACCGACCCAGTTAACCTTCCGGTCGAACGTGGGGTGAGACCCAGATCTGCTCACAGCCTGCGAATCGATTTGCGGCAGTGATATTGTGATTCTGTTTTGTAACCTGTCGTCACTTTTTCAAACACACACACACACACTAGGTTTCTTNCCAATTTAAGACCAGACCACCTGGCGGCCAACCACATTTTAAACTTACTCTGTTCGATTCACATCTGCCTCCCTATTCATAAGTTACTTTGACTTACATAAACACCATTATTGATAATGAAGGCTTCCGACATTATCTCTATTTGGTCTATGACGCTGTACATCCGTGGGAAGTTCCACAAGTCGAATTGTTGAAAAGCAGGTTGAGAAATNCACTCGTTATTGAACGTTTTCAGTAGATTTTCTCATTTTTAAAAATTTAAGCCGACCGAGCTCATCGAGTTTTAGATAACAAATAAGCACCATCCATATTCACTTAGGATTTTCTATAACTACGAAAGCACTTTAAATAGCACACTTTCTACATGTTGGGAAGGGGAAGAATAATCTGGTTCAATTGGCCAAATATTTGCGAAAATAGTCTCACATAAACGACGTAATGGGAAAAGTTGTGTATCATTCGCACATTAGGATTCACGTTACTAAACAGGGGAACACTAGTCCCGATTGGTAAGCACTGAAGCAATTTTACATGGTTTGTTTTAAAACTGTGATTGTCTGTGCTACTTGAGTAACTCAATTATCACCTGAATAAACTGAGGAAAAGCATGGTGTGAAGTAGCCTATTGAAAAAATAATTATTTATAGAATTCAAATGAATGGGTTAATTGTGGATATGTACTTTATTTGCTCTGCCTGTACTTATATAAGTAGATGTGTTGGTATCAGCTTATGTGTATTAAAATGAATGGAATTTATTTCGCGGAGAAAATTATCTTTGTGTGTGTTTTAGTGAACACCAGGGAATCGGGGTTTCTGCTGGTTAGTTGAATGTCTTGTTACATACCACTTATATGCCAGTTACAAACCTTACTCTTTCGATCGTCCTAGTTGTAAATGCAAGAAGAAACAAAAATATACAAAAATGCGATCCCCGGGATACTGAATGTGCTAACCAAAATTAGATTAGACATTCGATTTTCAGTGATGACGTTCCATCAGCATTCTAGTTTCCATCAAAAATAAGTTGACTTTAACCTGTTTTCAACAACTTAAACATTTTGGTGATGTTCGGCTTAATAACCGGAAAGCAGCCGAAATGTCCATAGAGTCGATAACTAGTTCCTTTGTCAAATCAGTTTTTGTTTTAGCACTTTAACCAATGTCAGTTATTTCCTAAAGTCCTGTCTGGTATGCACTTATAATGTGTAAGCTTATATGTTACAGCAAATTAGCACCTATGATAAAGTTTATTCTATTCATGTCTTTGCAAACAAATCAAGCAAGACGCGGGTTGAATATTGTCTTCAAATATGTTCATTCTTTACGCTTACCCTTTGACCCATTCGAAGTTTTGTTTTGCAAACGCGTCTAAAAAATGCCATGGTACCCAACCCTTTGACCTTTATCGCTGCTTTATCGTAGGAATTTACGTGTTTGCAAAGTTCGTAAATGAAGCGTATGCATTATGAAAGGTAAATGAGATAAGCTCTACAAATATTGCGTCACATGTGGCCACGAGAGGGAGCGGATTTCGCTGCGGTTTAGTTTGGTTTGGTTCACCCAAAAACTGTAATGTGCTCTTGAAAGCATGCTTATTGATAAACAGTCATCTTACCTTTAATTCGCCTATCACTCAAAATAAGCTAGCATGCTGACGTATCAAAATTAGTTACATTTCCGTCATTTATATCGACTCAAAATGTATATAGGCTTGCTATTTTGAGAGTTCTCTGAAGTAATAGCTCATTAGCTAAATCCTTCTTATGTTTTGAAGAAAATACGTAATAATTTCGAACAGATGGTCCAAGAAGTGAATATTAGGGCAGGTTACCTGTGGGCAAGTGTGATGATACACTAATGACAAAGAAACGGAGAATGGAATTCTTTCTTCTCTGAATAGTCAAACAAAACTACTGCCTGAGGACTACGTATGCAGTAACATGAATTGGCACGTGTATATATATATATATTTATTATAGATATATATTATATATAATATATATACATATAGTCAGGGCCATTGTGGATTGGTTTGAACAGTAGTGCAACTTTCATGCGATCAATCCGGAAATCACAGTTCAAAAGGGATAGTAGGTGTTTATTATTCACGAACTCTCAGGCGAGGAAAACTCCAGTCTAATGTAGCATTGATCGGGCGAGCCGAGGATTGTGCATCAAGATNTGAAGTCGAAAGACGCTCAAGTCAAATCAACTTAAACAAGGCCAAGTCACGAGCTGCAGTTTCTGCAGTCAGGTGGAGGAATAAATGTTCCAACGGAAATGAATCTCACAGCAAAGCAGGAGGGCAAACAAATGTCCTTTCGTTATACCGCTTCAAGCTTTACAGCTACGGAATTTATGATTATAATTTAAATTAAACATTTATATTTTAATTTTTCAATAGATTTTTCCAAGTGGCCGAAGCCGATATTGAATGAAGGTGCATGTATGCAAATTGTTTCGCTGACAACATGCCAATTTTTCACAAGAAATAGACAGGAATAAGCAGTGAGAAATATAAAAACTAAAAAGGAATAGGTATTTGTCGAAAATGAAATCAACCAGGTGTGAAAGTGTAAACAAAAGTTAATAAATAAGGGTTGAGGAGATGTCCAGAAGCGTCACTGAAAACGTGAGAAAATTCATTCTATGGTCATCATAACAATGCCATTAAAGTAATCACACAACTCCGGATGTATGCTATGGATCTTGCAGTCCTCAGGATCCTCTTACGTAATCTTTTGGTGCTGGTTTCAGGTACTGAATTCAGTATGTGTTGACAGATTAGACTGTGCCGTTTGCCACCGCACACAAACGGTCAAAGCTGGTTTCCAGAACTCGATTGGCCAACTTGTGATTTTCGTATCGTGACTCTAAGAATAAAATTTTCAGAAGTTTAAGAGTTTCATTCTAGTTTATTCTGGATAGAACATTATTGTTACTATTAGTATTGCTATTCTTGCTAACTGAACTCATTATGCCATTGAATCACCGGCAATTTCATTGATTGGTTAGAAAAACGTATAAAATCCGTCGAACGACATGCTTACATTTACATCACAGTTACTTATCAGGAACCGTATGAAAGTTTTTATTTCTTGTAGCTGATTGTCATTTTGACAACATCACCATGCTCAATCCTCAGCACTTCGAGTTCACACCGTTCTGAAGCACAGAAGTCTATTTTATCTTGATGTGCTGGTAATTCCTTGACTAAAGCTATAAGTCAATTATGATTGTACGCTTTTTGCTACATTTTGTTGCCTGGAACTTTGTTTTTATCGGACCGTAGGAAATGCATGGTCCAGCTTACATCCATAATTCTGGTCAGCCCCAGTTGAGGACCATCTGCACAGCGGTCAGATGCATGTCTTTCAAGTAATGGGCCGGGATGTTAAATATCGCACACACTGGTTCTCGGTTATATTCTTGACTGAATGGACTGGTGATTAGGAATGAAGATGTAAACTGAAGAGCAGTCAGTGGAAGTAGATAAATGAATATGTTATTCAATATTATTCAATAATAATTATTATATATAAATATTGTTATATTATTATTTTATTGTTATTACTATTAATTATTATTATTATAAATTGCGTTTGGAACATTTTCGATAAGGACCAGTTACATTCCTAAAGTACATCGGTTCCTGCAAAAATACAGCGGTCATTGTTTTTCAATCTAGTTCCATGCATTATTGCAACCGAAACCAAAGATCTAATGAATGCCGTCAAGTTTGAATGGTGACATATAAGTACTATAATTGTTTGCACTAGGTACCACTTGAGTAAGGTGAAACTTTCATGGACACGATAAGTGCAGTTTTTCTTTCGTTCTTTTCCTAATCTTCAGTGGTCGATACCAACTCAAAAGTAATACATTATCACTACCGATCACATTTTGTGGTATCATCACGATGAAAGCGGCTCAAGTTTTCTTCCTGATAATACTCATTTTGAAGTAATAACTCCAAATTGTTCAAGAATATTGTCCTCTGGTCNTTGCCCCTGTTTAGTTCAGTTTACTGTCTAACGGCTATATATAGTGAATACAATTTGGTTAGTTTTCAGAGAACCTTCAAGACTGGTTTGAATAGCTGAGATGGATAGACTTTACTTTTGCCCCGCCCATCGAGCAGAACACTTTGTTTGAACAGCAAAACTGACTCCAAGAGCCGTTTAGAGCAGTCCTTGTCGGTCTAATTGTATGCATGTGCAACGTGTACAGGCGTTGACCAAACTCGTGAACATCTTGATTTCAATCACATTTGCTCGTCCCAACCCTTAGTGTTTCCAGCCTCATTCACGGGATTGAATAGGATATTGCCCCACATCAGACACAACATGTCGGTCAGAATACCCACTTATGTGACTGTTTCTATTAGCCACATGCCATTAGAAGGCACAGTTTCGCGTGTTTGAGGGCGGTTGATGGTGCATCAGTTGTAAGATAAGAAAGTCACAGTAGAAAACGGAACTGCAATTTATTAATCAAAATGACTCGAAGATCTATACAGCTGTTGTAATTTCATCTCGTCCATATCCCATTTGCTCTTCTTCATATTTGAGCACTGGGGACAGTTTATTTATCATGGAATCCACCAAGTTTGCGGCCAGAACGTATTTGCAGGTTTTCCCAAGTACACCGTACACCTTACCACTGGCACTCAATGTTAAAGTACTCAACTTATCCGTCTTTATAATAAAGCGAGAGGGTTTCGATTAAATCAA